ATATTCACTTTAAACCTTCTACAGATATGTCAAGAGTTTTTAGAAATGTAATGTCATACGTCTATGCAAATAATGATTATCAAGGTGGAACATTACTTAATATAAGTAATTTCAAATCTTTATTTCCTTTTGTTTATTTTGACCTAACAAAACAAAAAATGGATATCAAAGATGGTGTTACAAAACTCGCATTTCATTACGAATTATCTGCTAATCCAGACGCTGATTATAATATTTACGCATTAGTCTTACATGAAAGAGTAGCAGAAATATCACAACAAGATGGAAAACTATTGCTCCGTGCTTAGATTTAATATTATTCTATAAATAAATGACAACTTATATTGAATATGGTGTAACACTTACAGATGGGCAAAAGTCAAAACTGGCTTCTGCAATATTAAATAAATCACCACTAACTCTTCGGTTAAAACATTCTCATCTTCGAGGTTCTGATGAGTTAATGTTAACAAAAAGACAAATTTCTAAAATAAAAAAATCTATTGCAAATGGTACAGGATCAGATATAAAAATAAGTAAAGCACAGATTAGTCGTTCTGTAAAACATGGTGGAAACTTATTTTCTTCACTCGCATCTCTTGGAGCAAAAGTACTACCTTACGCAGTAAAAGGAATTTCAAAAGCTGTTCCTGCATTGGCTACTGGTGCTGCTACTGCACTTGGAGAAATTGGATTAAATAAAATATTTGGAAAAGGAATAACAATCCCCTCTAAGTTTTTCCCAATGTTACCACCTCTTGTAAGAGAATTTACAAAATCACAAATAAATCAAATTAACAAAGCTTTTCAATCAGGTGGACGATTAGTTATAAAACCAACTCGTAAACAAATAGAAGGAGGATTTCTTGGAACTCTTACATCTATTGGAATTCCAATGGCAATTAGTTTAGTATCTAAGATGTTTGGATCTGGTCTTCAGGTTGATAGACGTGGTTCAACTAATACAGCAAATGTTTACATCCCACATCCTCCTCCTCCTCCAACCACACATGGTGAAGGTTATCCTTATTACCCACCACCCTTTTTAGGTACTTGGGAAAACCCAATTGGAATGGGAGTTAAAAAAAAAAAGTCCAAGTCCAAAGGAAAAGGACTACTACTAGGAAAAAACAGCCCTTTCAACTCAATTCCATTAATAGGGGCCATTTTGTAATTAAACCACTATCCAACTTTGACCTCATGGATTGGGTAAAAAAAACTTGGTATTAAACATTTTAGAGGAATTTACAGTCGTGATGGTCTACCAAATAGGATAAAAAAAGAATGTGGAATAATTAATCTAGATGATATAACAGGTCCTGGAACACATTGGGTTTGTTATAGAAATATAGACAATGTAGTTGAGTACTTCGATCCATTTGGACTAATAATGCCAAATGAAGCATTAAAGTATTTTCATACTTCTGGAAAACGTATAGTTTACTCAATGGATGAAATACAAAATCGCAGTACTGTTCTCTGTGGTTATTGGTGTTTATACTATCTGTTTGAGAGACAGCGGGGTAATAGTATTCTAAATGTAATACATAACCCACATTTTGACGATGACAACAGCGATTTTATAAAAGAGTATTTTGTAGGATAAAAATAATATTTAACAAATATTATTTTTTTTATTCACTATCCGCTGATGCATCCTTTAGTTGCTTAACACTCTCAACTTTTTTATTTAAATCTTTAACACTATCAACTATTTCATCAAATTTCGAGTAAATATTAATAAGTCTAAAAAGTTTCTTGTTTTTATCACTGCTTATTTTAAACCAAGAATAGTCCTCATCTCTGATTTTCCCCCACATCTCACATTCACCAGCCATTAGTATTCTAGAAAGATCATCATTTTTCTTTCTAAGAGACTCAAACTCATTATTTATTTTTGTCCTTACTTCTTTCTCAAAATCTTTAAGTGTTTTTACATCCATCTTTTTTTCTATCGCAGAAAAGAATTTGGCTTCCATTTTATTATATAAATAGATAGTTTCCTTTTACAACTTTGTTGAGAGTATTTGATTTCTCACTTATTTCCATAAACAACTCAAATATTTTTTTATAAATCTAGTGTCATTTTCCAATCTAGCAAAATCAGCATATTCATAACTCATGTTTAAATTATTATATATCTTTTGAAGTTCACTTTTCAAAAAATTAGATCTAGTAGACATATTTATCTAAAGATTATACTAAATGAAAGAATCATATTGTATTGTAGATAAAAGAGTAACTCCTTGCACAGAGCCAAGTGGTTACCAAACAGATAAAGGAGGTAGAACTCAATTCTATTGTAGATGTGCAGTTTGTGGAAACAAAAAAGTTAGATATGTAAAAACTGGAACAGCTTCTCAAACTGGAAGTGGAAAAAAGAGAAAACGAAAGTCAAAAAACTAATCAGCCCGTCTGAAGGGGCGGGCGTCTTTGATACTGTTGTTGGTACTGCAGTTGATGGATTTGTTCATTATGGTTTACCTTGGATGGGTAAAAA